GGCCTGCCAAGACTTTGGACTAACAATCAGCCTTAAGAAAACACAAGTCATGGGCCAGGGTGTGGACTCGCCTCTCTCTATTACCATCTCCACATAAGAATTGGAAGTTGTTCATGACTTTGTGTACCTTGGCTCAATGATCTCTGACCCTCTCTCTAGATGTCGAGCTGGATAAATGCATTGGCAAAGTAGCTACCATGTTCTCTAGACTCACAAAGAGAGTATGGCTTAATAAGAAGATGACGGCATATACCAAGATCTAGGTCTATAGAGCCTGTGTCCTGAATACACTCCCGTACTGCAGTGAGTCCTGGACCCTTTGTGCATGGCAGGAGAGGTAGCTGAACACCTTCCATATGTGATGTCGCCAACGCATTTTTGGTATCACCTAGCAGGACAAAGTTCCAAATAGAGTAGTCCTAGAATGAGCTGGAATTTTTAGCATGTATACATTACTGAAACAGTGATGTCTACGTTGGCTTGGGCACATTGTGAGAATGGGTGATGGTCGGATTCCAAAAGGTCTCCTGTATGGAGAATTAGTGCAGGGAAATCGCCCCAGAGGGAGACCACAGCTGCGATACAAGAATATCTGCAAGCGGGATCTGAAGGCCTTAGGAATGGACCTCAACAGATGGAAAACCTTGAGATCTGAGCATTCAGCCTGGAGGTAGGCGGTGCATCATGGCCTCTCCCATTTTGAAGAGATACTTGTCCAGCAGGCCGTGGCAAAGAGACCATCCCAAAAGCAGCAAAATCAGGGAGCTGGACAGGGGACAGATTTTATTTGTCTCCATTGTGGAAGGGATTGTCACTCTTTCTCAGCCACACTAGACACTGTTCCAAGTCCTCCATACAGAGCACGTTACTATAGTGTCTCAAGACTGAAGGTTGCCTAATCAACCAAGCAGGCTATATGTAAGTCCATTTCTATGGCAGCCCTTGCCAGGGTTTTCTAGGTACAAAGTAATCAGAAGTGGTTTACTAGTTCCTTGCTCTCAGGGAGCATAATGTGCCAAAGGCCACAAAGGCTGCCTCTCTTCTTTGGAGGCAAAGTGGGGAATTGAAGTCACAACATCTGGCTTCACAGCTGGATGCCCAAATCACTGACCTATTTAGCTAGCCTTAAAGAAAGGACCCCCACCTCTAAAAAAAAAGGGAGGGGAAGAAAGAAAAAAGAACGAAATAAGGTAGCCATTGTCACCTGCGTAACTGTTTATCACCTTTTCCTCTCTGTTGCTTGTTAATACACTATTAGTGTGCATTTTCTCAACACATGTGACAGAGGTGAAAATTTAAAATTCAAGTGAATTTGGGATTTTTTTAAAAAAATACTGAATAGGAAGGGAAATTGAAACTGACAGATCTGCCTGTTTAGATGAGAGAGGGCCTTGAGTGTTCAGCCTTTCAAAGCTTGGCTTTTCAGCCTTGTTTATTTATCTATGTATGCAGTCTCAGATTAGATTTCCACATCCATTTATCTGGTAGACTGCTCTTTTTAAACAGTTGCATTGCAACTTTGAAATATAACCATACACATTAGGACTTAGCAATTATATAAAGACAGCCACAGAATTTCATATCTATAGCAAAGTCCAGTATATAGTGTCCATCAATAAACCATGGGAAAATAGCCATTGTCTGATAAACGTACCTTCCCTACCTTTAGCAAAAGTACACTAAAACAATAAAATAGGCTTAGTTGTGATGGAATGTTAAAGGAAAATCCTGAGAAAGGAATGTCAAAGGAACTTCCTGGGAAAGAAAGTTTAAAGGAATACCATATTAGGGGCTCTCTGTGTGTTTCATTTTAGGGCTCAAAAAAACGTTAAACGAAGCAAACGTTATGCGAGGCACCACTGTATTTGGTTTTGTAGACTATATTTACACACATTTGCTCTTGGCTGTCTCTACTGGCCATTACTGAATAAATGCTTTCCTAAACCTTCAATACGCCTCATTACAAATTCTTAAGAGAAAATTTATCCACACAGGTACAACATGCTATTCTCCTTTACTGCAAAATAGCTACAGCTATTGGATTTCAACACTGCAGGTGATTAAGAATTGATTTTGGGGTTTTTTCCCCTGAGAATATTCCAAAAATGACAAATGTATTTGTATAATTCAAATCAAATGGCTAGGGATGCAAAAGCAACAACACCTGAAATATAAGAAAAAGCAAAACTGTCAGATTCACCCATTCCTACTTTACTATTTGCTCAGTGTTGAAACACAGTATGATGACTTACCTTGGTATCTGCGCAGTCTTGTAAGCCCAGCTCCTGTATCACAGCATCAACCCTGAGGTTCTTCTCCACATTGTTCCTATCCTGTGGCAGCCGCAGGTTGGCAGAGAATTGAAGGTTCTCACGAACACTGAGTGTTCCAGTCAGAATGTCCTCCTGCAGGACAAGGGCATTTAGGTGACTTAAGCAGGGAAAGGATTCTCGCATGTGGAGTAGTGGTGATGTTGAGTCTGTGGCCCAAATCCTCTTACCTAGTTGTACAAATGGAGGGCAATTGCTCTATATTTGGAACTCAACATAAACATTAGTAGTTGCATACCAAGTTGTGTGACTCAGTGTGCAATTGATATAGTCCAAGGCAACTCAATCCCATAGACTTTACCTACATGTCTACAGCCCTTTCCTTCACAAGAAAAACAATCAGGAAGCATCTGACTACGATCTCCCACATTTTTCAAATTAGGTAACAATGGCCACAGAATAGATTAGGATAATAAACTATTGTTTTATATCTTGGCTTGTTCTGAAGAGGTTAATCATGGTCCCCCAATTCAAATGAAATGGAAACTATGATTACTTATGTGCTTCCTGGTTTGCTAGCTTGGTCCGTGAAGGAAGAAGTGATCAGGCAAAAGGCCTTGCTTTATTCAACTGATGTCCAAATTTAGAAAATGAGTGGTTTTCCACTCTTGAAGAATTCTTATGTTGAAGAATACTGAAATGTACTAGGCATATCTACAGATGAATATTGATTCATTGATTGCAATTACCAATATAGAATGCATACAAAGTTGATGAAGATGCATGTGACTGTGAAGAGGAAAGATATTTTCAGTATATTGATAACATTCTGCTCTGTATACAGCAGAGAACACTGTAGTTTTCTCTTTATACAAGAGGGTATCCTTTAGATGTTGTAGCACTACAACTCCCATCAAATTTCACCACTGTCTTTACTGGTTATGGGTGATTGGGAGCTGCTGCCCAGTGACAACTGAAGGGCTACACATTGCCCACTTCAGATACATTGTCTAATGGCACCTGCCCAAACGGTTAAGACAACATCAGCAGAATTATGTTTTTAACTAAATCAAGACTAGGATGCCTCTAGAATAAAAGTTATCCCTGCTAGTCATCAGTAAGTGGGGCTAGCTACATGTGACAACAAAAGACACATAACAGAGTTTTTCCATTTTTCCCTTTGTAGGAAAAAACAGAAGTAGGAAGAGGGATTCCGAGTGGATTGAATAGGATAGGAAATTTACTGGCATATTGCTTCTCTGCTTTGAGACCATTCCCTGCACCCAAGTGGCTTTCCTCTACAAGGACTCCAAACATGTTTCAATACTGGAAAACTGAACTTGGAAGACTGTGGGGGGTGGGGAAGTAACTTCCAGCAAGATATGAAACAGAGAAGTGGAAAACAGAGGAAAGGTTCATTCCTGCCCCGAACTCACCTTTCTTTTGTAAACCAACAGACACAACACTGTAACAGTAGCTTTGCTCCATTCCTCTGCATGCAAGGTATAGCTAGTCCACAAAAAATGATGCAGGAAAATGAGTGGTTTTCCACTCTTGAAGAGGAAAGGTTCATTCCTGCCCCAAAGTCACCTTTCTTTTGTAAAACAACAGACACAATACTGTAGCCTTGCTCCAGTAGCTTTGCTCCATTCCTCTGCATGCAAGGTATAGCTAGTCCACAAAAATGATGCAGATTAAGGCCAGCTATCCTGGTGTAGTGTGTAGAGGGATGGACTAGGACCCTGGAGAGCAAGGTTTGAATCCCCACTTGGCCATGGAAACTCACTGAGAGAGTCGAATTGGTAAAACCACTCCTTAAATATTTCACTTACCTTGAAAGCCTTATTAGGGTTGTTATATGTTGGTTCTGATTTGATAGCATGGAAGACCACCCCCCACCACAACCTGCCATAGCCCTCTCTTTATCAGATTCATGGTAGCTCTCTCCTTCCTGTAGTTTTTTTTAAAA